GTGTTAGGAGGAGGGGCGTCGTGGAAGCGAAGCCGCGACTCTGGTTCGTGGCTCTGCTTAAGAGAACGGCAGGAAATGTAAAATACAGAAGAGCAATTAAATCCTCCTTGACAAACTCCATATGGAACGATTTTGTTATCTCAAAACTGAAGAAAACACAGGAAATACGGTTTAAAAAAAAAAATAAAAAATAATCCAGTGCCCAACCTGCCTCGCTTCCTAGAGCGCATCGGAGGAACGCGTTGAGCAAAACGAGCTCTGGGGGTTTAGTAACGCGATTGATTCCATCCCAGAGAGGACACCGAGCTCCTCCGCGCCCTCGGCGGGGACTCGAGCTCTCGGCGTTTGTTTGCCCCAGCTTGAACGCCGCGCGCGGGGCTCCCCCCGCCTTCGCCCCCGTCTCACGTCACCTGTTGTTGTTCCGACAGTTTCGGCAATTGATGCACTCCGAGGGGTCAGCCTGCGGCACTGCCGTGTACATCCCGCCGCCCTGCAGCAGGAGGGATTAAAAAACACAACACGACACAGAATTAAGGTCAGGCGCTACTCCGAGCGCCGCCGGGAAGGGGGTCCAGCTCCAAGCCCCGTCGCTGTGTTCCCAAGCCCCAGTCACCGCATCAATCTTCAGATCCGCGCCCCGCAAGGCGGCGCGCAACACTGCGCTATTGTACAAAGCCGGGCGGAGGGGGCTTTGCCAGCCTGTGTGTCAGAAGAAAAGTAAATAACTGCAGGGCTGTAAATATGTTTATTTTTAACACTGATGACAGACATGAAAGCAAATCGCTGTTCGTTAGCAAACGGTGCCCGTTTGGGGAGACGGAGCATTACAGTTGCAGGGCTGATGTCACAACATAAACCCATCCCACTTTCCTGCAATTACTCCGATTAGATCAGTTTACCTCGCTACACTGATTTTTGAAACATTTAATATTTTTACAGATGGGGTAATTCCTTAGCCAGCAATGACTCTGGGTGAGAGGGATTTTGTGTTGTTGGTTTTGGCTGGAGGGGCCATTACAAGCGAGTAAAAATGCCCAGATTAACACATACCTCATTGTTAAGGACCAGGCGGACACCGATGCGGGAGCCGCTGGAAAACGGCGCTGCGGGGCCGGGGTACCTCCC